CTGGCATATTTCCATTAAAGGTAGACAAAAAGAGCATACGCATATCAGTGTCATCTTCAGTCGCTTCACATTCGTATGTGTTTTTAAAAATATATATAGTTTGACCACCTTTGGCTGCCAAAATTTAGAATTTTGAAATTTAAGATGTGTTTTCAAAAATGTACAGTTAATCTAGTCCAACTTGCCCTCTTGTCAATATAAAATTGTAGTAAGCTAAGCTAATAAATAAAAGCACAGAGGGCATTACCGAGTAGAGTGATGCTGATCAGTAATCTCATTTATAAAACAAGCTTAAGATCAGTTTTATAAACTGCTGACATGTGATCTTATCTCTAATCATTCTGGACTTGAGGTACTGTAACACGTAATCCTTCTCATTGTATAGGGTTTTGCATTGTGGCAAGCCTGTGGTGAGCTCTGCATGAGCTGTATAAACAATGCAACAGGACTCACCAAATAAATGTAGCAGATTTTCAGTTCAGTTCAATTCAATTCAATTTTATTTATATAGAGCCAAGCGCTAGTTGCCTCAAGGCACTTTATATTGTAAGATAGACCCTATCATAATACATTTTCAAGAATGTAGAACCCAAAGCTGTTTTTCCAGAAGGCACTGAAAATGACTTCCAGGTAAGGGAATTGTGTTTTTTTGCTCAAGAAAATCATAAAAGCAAAAAAGAAATTTTTTTGTCAATGACTACTAAGCTAAAAATGTTTTTAGCAAAGCTATGAATGTACGGCATGTTTTATGAATCGGACAATTTTAAAACTAAGTTAAAAGCAGAAATCAAAGGATTTTTCAAATGAGACACAATTGTTTTACAAAAAAATGTAACAAGCTGTGTGTGGAAGTATTCAGAGTTTGGTAAAAAAAAAGTAGCCATCCCTATCTGAGAGCTCACCACCTAAAGCATGTTGCCTTTCAAACAGCAACAGAGGTACCAGAAACATCTGGTCTACACCACACCAGAACACATAGCTCGCCAGGAAGAGTCCTTCAATGACCTGCAACACAAATGAGAAAGGAAGTGCTCAAATATGTCACATAACTTGGAGCCAGTGATCATCTAGTCATTATTTATGGTTTTGATCATCTGTGAATGTACAACACATTAAGCTTGAAGGACAGTGGCTAAAGCAGGAGAAGATAACAACAAGTTCCTTCTTCTTCTTCTATCAGGTAAGAATAAAAAAAATAGTAATAGAAGAGTAAGAACAGAAAACTGAGAATACAGAGCTGGCTGTGACTGGTAGAGCAGACCAGTGTGCATGCCAACCCCATGTTGCTCTCCAATGCATCCGAGTATGAATGCGTGTGAATGTTAGACACAAAGCAATGAGGCAAGTTTGCTATACAAGAACCAGTCCATTTATGTTTTGCACAGGAGAATAGTTTTGGCATTAGATGTTTTGTTTGTCTTTGCATCCTCTTATTGTCAGAACTGTATTGACCAGTCATGACCAATCCAGCCTGGGTGGCATCCAGGTAAACAGTCCCATGGATTACCGAAATGCAATCTCTAAACCACCATCTATTGTCTAATGATGGCTTGGCTTTCAGCTGGAAGACTTGGACTGAATATCAGTTGGCAACACCTGAAACCAGAAATGTGTTTGAGGTTAAAGCCCAGTCTTCATGTCTGTATCTAATGATTTGCTTGGATTGCTTTGTTGGTAGTGGTTCTGGTTGCGTACGTAACCCTCGACACGTCTAGTGTCAGCATCAGTGGTTTCCTTTGCTTTTATTGTTAATGCTTCAAAGTTTAATTTGAAATTTTTAATTCTGAGCTTCATACTTTTTTATCTTGTGTTCTTGCTACAAGTTACTGAACTTTTGAAACCTTCTTTGAGACCTAGCATTTCAATACTGAGCAGTTATTAAAACTGATGGAGGGAGATGAAACAAATACAGAAAATGGAAATACTAACATGTCATACAACTATATCCATTGCACCACACTCACTGTTGAATAGTTTCCAGGAATTTCCATGTTCTCCCTGTGTCTGCACAGGTTTCTTCCAGGTACTTCAGCTCCCTCCCACAGTCCAAAGACACACCTGTTATTTTAATTAGTGCTTAGAAATTGGTGTTTGAAGTGTCCAGAATACTTGTAGTATAAAGAACTTCCAGTGGTTAGTAAGAGTAGAAAATGGCTATCCAGATGCAAGTACAATACATTGTTGCAATATGACACTGAATAAATGTCCAATTGTAATGTCAGTAACTAATCAGCCTTGAAACTGCATTTTAAATATTTCCTAGGAATTTCCTCATTGCCGCTGATTGTTGTAAAGAGATGAACAAAAGACATCTCTATTTGTGCGCAGGCATATCAATGAGTCACACATGCACAAGTTTGCACAAATGTCGTGCGTGCGTGCGTGTGTGTGTGTTTGCACCTGCCTCCCTGGGAGGAAACATCTGCTGCAGAGTGTCAGTGGCCACCTGTTGGACTCTATCCTGCAACTGACTGACCAGCCTTCAGGACTGATTTACTATCTGCATGAGCTCAGTCTGAAGCAGGAAGATCTGTGTGAAGAGAAACAGCCGTCTTATTACACTCTGCCACAGACTTCTGTCTGAGACAATGCAGATTCACACTGTTTGTCCGAATGAAACCCACTGGGTCAATTACGTAAGCAGCAGGAAATCTTCTCGGCATGCTGGAAGTAACAGATTAACAAGGTTTTTGCACATGCCCAAAGACCTGAAGTTGTTAAATGAAGCCTTCCAGACAGGAAATCACCTGACATGCCAAAATTGACCTTATATTTCTCAGAAAAGAACAATTCATGAGGTAAGAAGAAAATCAATAATGAACAATTTCTCTAAACCAATTTAAATAATTACTTAAAAAAAAGACAACAACAAAGAAAAAGCCCACTTGCCTTAGTTTACAGAAGCAATGGTAATACTGGCCATTCTTTGGATCACTAGGTGCAGATGGAAATATAGCTATATCTAACAAATTGTCAGCAAACAACAAATCCACTAACTTGACAATATCCCCAATGGTTGTTTGGTCCTATTTTCCGAAATGTCCTATAAAACCATTTCTAAAACTACATATATGACGTGCTTTTGCTTAGAATTACTGACAAAAGAAAAAAATCTGCATTTGGAGGCAAGAAGATGGATAGATGTCTATTGAAGGTTTAGACAGCTGAGAAGCAGCAATAAATATAAGTCTCAGGGACAGATAATGTTTTCCATAAAGATAAACATTTTATTTTTGAAATCTAAAGGTTTTGAGATAAATTCATAGTAATTACTACTGAAATATTCCTTTATGTTGTTTGGTTGTTGGTACATAATGAGGTAACACTTGTCTTGTTGAACACTGAGGGCTTTACGGGTCCATTCACCGCCCTCATCTTTCATCATAATACATTTCATTTCACTTTATGTGTTCTTCTGGTCTGGCAGACAGAAGACATTGTTTGGGACTGTGATATTGTTTGAAAGCATGGAGGTATATTCCCCCATTAGTCCAGGCTATCAAAATAAGTAGATTTAAGAAGAGGCTCCAGGCTCCATTGTACAGAGCACCATTGTGCTGAGAGGCTTGCAGGTGTCTTTTATGGTTTTTCCAAATTTCGAAATTTCCGTCAGTTCCAGAGAAAGTGCCATCATTTTGATTTAGCAACGTGGTACGATTTCCAAATATATTACATCATCAGCAATCCAGTCATGTGTGTATGGCCCCCAGTGATTCTCCACCCTTTCAGGTGTATGAAAGAGCTCAGCCTGATGTGTAAATTCTCAGGCCTGTTGCTGTTGTAGACTGCGGTTACCAGGCATTTACTCCCTTTATATAAACTGGAATCTTTGTGTTTTCTGTTTCTATTTGTGTTTTTAATGCATGTCATCTTTTATTGTTTGTGGTTGTTTGTTTGTGTTTTTGTTACAGCAGATGGCCCCGCCCCTCCCTGAGCCTTGATCTGCCGGAGGTTTCTTCCTGTTAAAAGGGAGTTTTTCCTTCCCACTGTCACCAAGTGCTTGCTCTTAGGAGGTCGTCTGGTGATTGGGGTTTTCTCTGTATTATTGCTGGGTCTTTATCTTACAGTATATAGAGCCTGGTGGCAACTGGCATTGTGAATTGGTGCTGTATGAATAAAACTGAACTGAAATTGTGATTGAAAAGTTTTCAAGCCATTCTTGCATGGATTCATCTCTAGAACTTTAAGCCATTTATATAAATACATCTATCCATATCTATCTATCTATCTATCTATCTATCTATCTATCTATCTATCTATCTATCTATCTATCTATCTATCTATCTATCTATCTATCTATCTATCTATCTA